AAAGTGAAAGAACTACCCGGTTGGCTGTAGCGGATCATGAGTCACGCTGCAACGTGCCCTTCAAATTAAGAGTCTGAACAGATATTTTTGCTTTTTTTTTTCTGAATTAACATTAAAACCCATGAATTTGCAAGTTATTAACCTTTTAACATGTTTTTAAACACAAATAAAATAAATATAAACTACTGATGTTTTTAATGAGTCGTTTTAACCATTAAGATCCATTTATTGACTATTTGTAACCTGTAATATATTTCTTTTGACTGTTTCTATTAACAGGCTTTTATTTATTGGGAGCTATGTTAACCAGGGTTACACCCTCCCCTCTTAAATGTATGCAAGTCCCTTTGCATAAAACATAGGTCAGACTACCTGGACATCATGGATTTCAATAGAGCTAATCACAGCCCCACTTAAGCTCTGGAACAAGGATTGAACTATGCTAACCAGAGGGTTCCCCAGTTGAGGGTAAGTTAAGTGCTTGGGCTTTGTTCTTTCTCGAGATGATCTTCTGACAGACTGTTCTGCATCAGGGTCATTCCCTTCCATTTCACTGTTTACAGGTTCAGTGTCATTCACCTGAGTTTGAGTTGCTTCCTCATCATTAGTTTTGTTTGAATCCAACGCATTGTCCATTTCATTTTGTTGAGTCATGTGAACTTCCGGTGCTGGTTCAGGCAACTTCTCCTTTTCAGGTATTTTGTCTTTTTCAGGTAGATTTTCCATTTCCGGTTTGTTTCCACAATCAGGTAAGTTTACATTTATGTCCATGTCCTCTTGAGCAATATCAGGCACAGTCACATGTTCTGAGGCTTGAGAATAGTCTGATTTGTGTTGCTCATTTACAGGGTTTGACTTAGTCTTGGGAGGAAAGACTACTTTGTATTCTTCAAACGACCTAGAGATCTCTTTGAGATTATCTGAAGGGTAATAGAGGGGGTAGTTTTCCTCTTCCTCAGAGTTATATTCAAGCTCATGTTCGTCAGGATCAGTTGTTGGGTGTTGGCGTGTGCTTGGCCGTTGGGGCTTTACTTGTACTGCTTGAGAATTTTCAGGGGCAGTTGGCAAAAAACCACAAGGTAACAAAAGGTCTCTGTGAAGAGTTCTAGTGGGACCATTGTGATGCTCCGGTTTGACTGTATATACAGGGAGGTTGTCTTTTTGACCAACAACCACGTGGACAATGGACTCCCACTTATCAGCCAACTTGTTCTTTCCCCTAATCCGAACATTCCTTACAAGCACGCGATCTCCGACACCTAGGACAGATTCAGTTACATGTTTGTCATATCTAGTTTTGTTACGTTCAGCAACTTTGCTAACATTTTTGGTAGCCAGTTGGTAGCTCTCCTGAAGGTGAGATTTGAGGGCTTTAACGTATTGCGAGTGAGACTGCTGCTGGCGATTGTTCAGGGGGACATTGAAGGCAAGATCAATGGGTAGCCTAGGCTGCCTACCAAACATTAACTCATATGGCGTAAATCCTGTACTTTCATGTTTGGTGCAATTATACGCGTGAACGAGTGGCTTAACAAAATCACGCCAGTGTTTCTTGTCTTCTTCCTTGAGGGTACCCAACATGTTTAGTAAGGTTCTATTAAACCTCTCCACAGGGTTTCCCCTGGGATGGTAGGGTGAGGTTCTGCTCTTTTGAATCCCAGCTAGGTCGCACAACTCTTTGATAGTTTTAGACTCAAAGTCTGCACCCTGATCGCTATGCAACTTCTCGGGAAAACCATAGTGGATGATAAAGTTTTCCCACAGCACCTTGGCTACAGTTTTAGCCTTTTGGTTGGGAGTAGTTATTGCCACAGCATACTTTGTAAAGAAATCTGTAATGACTAAGACATGTTTAGTGTTACTGCGATCTGGTTCAATAGTTAAGAAGTCAATACACACTAACTCTAGAGGTCTGGTGACTTGAATATTTACCAGGGGTGCTGCCTTCTCTGGTAGGGTCTTTCTGCAAACACATCGGCTACAGCTTTTGATCCTTTGCTCTATATCTGAGGCCATTTTCGGCCAGAAAAATCTGGTTCTGGTTAGATCAAGTGTCCGGTCAAACCCGAGATGACCCATGTCATCGTGTAGGCTTTTAAAAACCATAGGTCTTAGGCTTTCAGGGAGAACGAGCTGGTACTGGGTTTCTTCACCTACTTGCCTTTTTCTGTACAAAATCCCATTCTGCAACTCAAGTTTATTTAGCTCACGCAGAAGAATGCTAATTTGTGGGATTTCATTGCGTACAGTAGGGGGAGATGTTTCACCTGTTTCAAGCTGGTGTATGATCTCATTGATAGCAGGATCGTTAATCTGACTTTGTTTTAACTCTTCTTCTGACATGCTTGGAATGACAGGAAAAGCGTCGCACTGATCAAAACTGTCGGGTACAGCATTAACAGACATAGACAAGGATGTTACGAGTGGACAGGCGAGAACATTGTCTGTGTCATGAGACTGGAGGACTAGGTGTCTTTCACAGATTGCACTGACAGCTTGAGCCGGAACGTATGTGAAAGGATCGGTGCAGGGCAAGTGGTGTTGCACAAACTGACGGATCCGCTCTTGTTCCTTCAGGGAGACAAGGTCGTTTAACGGCTCGGGATGTGGACGACGAGATAGGCCGTCCGCGTCCAGGTTTTGTTTGCCTGCTCTGTACCTAAGCTGGAACTCAAAAGAGGACAGGGCGGACAACCAGCGATAGCTCGTCGCATCTAACTTAGCAGTGGTCAAAACGTAAGTTAGAGGATTACTGTCAGTTATTACGGTGAAAGGACTGCCATATAAGTAATCACAAAACTTTTCCGTTACAGCCCACTTGAGGGCAAGAAACTCAAGCTTATGAGCGGGATAACGGCTTTCGCTTTTTGATAGTCCTCTACTTGCGTATGCAATTACACGCAACTCTCCCTCCTGCTCTTGATAAAGAGCTGCCCCTAACCCGGTTGTGCTTGCATCTGTGTGTAGTACGTAAGGCAACTTGGGATTGGCAAAGCCTAAAATTGGGGCTGAAGTCAGTTTGTCTATGATCGTCTCAAACGCTTTCTGACAGCTCTCTGTCCATCTCTCCCCGAAAGGAGCTTTTGGCTGAAAGTATTGGACGTCAGTGGACTTAGGGCTATTGGTTTTTCTCAGTGGAGGGTATCCGGCAGTTAGGTTGGTAAGGGGTTTTACGATTTTAGAAAAGTCCTTAATAAACCGCCTATAATATCCTGCAAACCCTAAGAAGGAACGGAGCTCTTTCAAGTTTTTGGGACTTGGCCATGTTTTCAAGGCTGCTACTTTGTCGGGGTCTGTTTCCACACCGTTTTGGGAGACAATGTGCCCTAAATACCGAACTGACGTCTGAAAAAACATACATTTTTCGAGCGATAGCTTCAGACCGTATTCTTTGAGACGACTAAGCACATGGAGGAGGCGGGCTTCGTGTTGTTCAAGGGTTTCGGAGTACACTATAAGATCGTCAAGATAGACCAGGACTTCCTTAAGGTTGATGTTGCCCATACATTTCTCCATCAGCCTTTGAAATGTGCTGGGAGCGTTTGTTATGCCCTGGGGCATTCGATTGAACTCAAAGAAACCCATCGGACACACAAAGGCTGTTTTGTGCTTATCTGTCTCATCGACCTCGATCTGGTAGTACCCGCTTTTGAGGTCAAGGACCGAGAACCACTTCGATCCTGTAAGGGCGGAAAATGCTTCTTCCAAATTAGGAAGCGCGTAGGCGTCTTTGATGGTATTTAGATTCAACTTACGGTAATCTATGCAGAGTCTTACGTCTCCGTTTTTCTTCCTTACCACCACTATCGGTGAGGAAAACGGCGACTCGGACTCACGGATGATACCTGCATCGCTGAGTTCCTGCAAATGCCTTCGTACAGCGTCAAGATCCTGTGGTCGTACGGGGCGAGGTCTGTGTTTAAAGGGGGTTTCGTCGCTCAGTTTGATTTGGTGTTTTACCTTATTAGTGCAACCGAAGTCTGTATCATGTAGCGCAAAAACCTCTGACATAGCACTTAGCTTTTGTGTGATTCGCTCTTTCCACTCCGCAGGGACTGGAGAATCAGCAAAGTTGAGATTAAGCTCAGCAGGCTTCAAATTGGGAGTCTGTTTGGACGGCCCTGTGATCTGACTGTTTGGTATGATCTCTTGCATAGCATGCATTTCAGCAATGACACTTTTCGCAGGGATAACTATGTCATGCTTACTTTCATTTCGCAGGACCACTGGAAGCTTGTGTGAGGATTTTCCAGGAAAGGTAAGTAGACAGTTGGTGACTAGGACTCCACCTGGCAAGGAAGATGTAGCGGGGGTCTCGACTACTACCCACCTGTCTGAGTGTTCCGCTTTTATGTGGACTAAACCCTCTAAGACTCGACTCTGGCCTGCAGGAAGGAATTCAGGCTCTTTTCCTGAAAGAGTGACAATACCGAGGCTATCGTTATCTTTCTGCTTGTGTCTTTGTTGTAGCACGCTCAATACAACTCTATAACCATAAGGCAGGATGCTAAGGTCTGTATCAGCCAAGGAGAGGCTTTCAAAGAGTAAGTCAAGAGTGTTAGTGCCGATTAAGAGAGAAGACTGCGCACTAGAGCGTGTGTCTGGAACGATTAATGCAAGTGAAGACACGGTAAGTTCAGTACCAAAACAGTTCTTTGGAAAGGTAATGCTGACATCAATATAGCCTGAATATGGAACATTCTGACCATTAGCAGCTTCGACTTCTAACAGCTCTTGTATTGGATGGATTTCAAGGTCTGCAAGATTGTTTTCATAGAATGATTGGGAAACTGTGGTCACTTGCGATCCGGTATCAAGAAGGCAACTGCAATCTTGATCATTGATTTTTACTTGAGCAGTGTATTTGGCTCCGATCAGACCTTTGGGTAGTTTCACAGTGGCTGATTTATTGTGAATGAATCGTTTTTTGGGTTTACGCGGTGGGCTTGTGGGACTAATTTCATCTGTAGCACCCATTTGTCCCACAATGAGGGCTTGCTTTAGTTTAAAGGCTGAGTTTGATTGTTTTGTCTATCCCACAATAACTGTTTTTCCTTCAACTGTTTCCTTTTGTCAGCAACCAATGACAGATTTGGATCATTTGGGCACGCAGAGGCAATATGGCCGTCTTCGCCGCACTGGAAACAGTATCCAGGCTTTGGCCTACCCTTCGCAGCTTGGGGTGTCAAAGACGTTCGTTCAGGTGCTTTGGAGTGAGTCTTAGCATTAGCTTTTGGCGGGTTAGACTTTTTCTTAGGAGGGTTCGAGGTTAATGTTGCAAGATGGCTTTGAAGCTGAGTGATTTGCGCTTTTAGTTCTGTTACCAGATTCTTCTGTGGATCTACAGGCGGTTCTACTTTTTGGGGTTTTAGTCTTGTCAGCTGGCTTTGTAACGCAGTTATTTGTGTTCGCATTTCAGTTAGGTCATTTTGCATGGTGAGTGCAGGGAAGTCAGCATTTGCAACAATAGAGTGAGAGGCTACTTTTGGTCTGGTGGCAGCAAAATGTTTTTTCATTCGGCTTTCTTTTGCAGTATGCTTGTCCTCTTCTACTCTCAACTGTAGCAGCAGCTCGGTGAACGTGGGGGGTTCATCTTTTTTCCTTTCGAGCTGAAGGTCTGCTAACAAAGCATTATCCCAACACCCCCGACAGAATTGACGCAGAAGGTGTCTGTCTGCTTCACCAGATGCAACACCACCTCTTTTCAGAGCTTTTGAGAGAGCTGTTTGCAAACGATGGAGGTAGTGTGAAGGCTTTTCACCTGCATCTTGTAAGGTGTTGAGAAATTTGGCAAAAAGCTCATCGCCATCTTCCACTGTGCCGAAAGCTGAATGTAGTAGTTCGAGATAAGCTGAAGGCAAGGCTTCAGGGCCCAGAGGCTTCACCACGTTAGCAGCAGGCGATACTAGACTGTCTAAGATTTTCCGTGAGCGTTGCAAGTCAGACAGATCGGAATCTTGAAGTAGGAGCTCTACACTGTGGCGCCATGTATCAAAGTCTACCTCATGGGTAGGACAAGGTGATTTGCCAGAAAATTGTCTGAGGCGGAAGGAGGCGCTCACTGGTGAGACAAGAGCTTCATTTCGCACTATGTGCTCTACTACAACTTTATGTACCTCTGGGTGTGTTATAAAGCTCTGTGGAATGGTAGTCTGTACATCTGGTTGTGTCTGGTTGAATGACTCAGAATCACTGATCCGTACGTTGGCTTTGAATGGTTCTGCAGGTTCACTTTGGATAGGTTGATCATTAGCTTGTACTTGGGTTGCTGGTTCACTTTGGGTGTCTGGGCTAAGAGGTGGTAGCATGTCTGTGACTGACTGAGCACATTTGGAAAGGTGTTCATGCAAAACAGTTTCGAAAGAGTTGCCACTAAGTCTAGCAATGTTTTGCAGTTCACAGAAAAAACTGCTGGTGATGCTGTTGGTAACAGCTGCTATGTACTCAGGTGACAAGGCTCTGATCTGGTAAGAAACCTCACTTGGACATTCAAATGTGTATGGTAGTAAGGGTTCAAGGGCTGAAAGAGCAGCTCCACTCTCATACTCCACAATAACATTTTTGTGGTAAGGAGATTTGGGATCGTCTATTTTAAGGATTCTTGCGATTCGACCATATCTGTTCAAAAAGTCTTTTAAAGCTTCATCAGCGTCTGTGTCTGTAATCCCACTAACAATGACTGAGTTAGGAATTTTAACACTCTCTCTGTTGACTATTTCCATTTTGCCGGACTTGGCCTAATTATGAGGTCTGGGTCAGAAAAACAAGATTTAAGGGTTTAATTACTGCTCCTGGCTGGCTCGCCACCTTTGTAACACTTCTGGAGTCGTTACAGTATACTAGGACCAGTTAGGTTCGACTACTAGAGCAGTATGAAGGTGACTTGTCATAAAAAACCCACAGACCAGAAAATAAGTTTAAATCACCGGCTTATTATTTTTAGAAAAAAAAAACAGAAAATAGACAGTTGACATACAATTCACAATACACATAAAACAATTAACACCAGGGAAATAAGATATTTTAATTTTCCCCTTTTTGTCCAGTAGTTCCCGTTTATCCTATTTGTCTCAAAACCTTTAATTTGGCTTTAAAAGGATGCTATTTAACCTAGGTTGTTGTTTTATTAATTTTAAGTTCTAAGTTCAAGTTTGTTCTTTAATCTATTTAAGTTAACACTGTGTTATTTTAAATCTAGTTTAGTCCTTTAATTCCAAAATTTAATTTAATTTTGGTTTAGTTCACCTTTAAATTTCAATTATTTCCTATTTGGTTTCACCCACAAAATTTACATTTTCATTAATACCATGACAGCATTAAAATGTGTGGTTGACCAAAATAAAAAAATAAACAGCATAAATGTAAAAACTTAAAACAATTCAGCAAAAGGCTGAACAAACTCTTTAAACAAAAAAAAAAACAAAAGGAAAAATGTATTTCTCCTTTAACCATAAATCCCAGAATTATTCTGAATGGTTATCCCGTGCTTTGTGAGTCCAGCGTTCTTCTGCAGAGGTGTATGGATAAATCCTACCAGATTCCAGTGAAAGAACGCAACGTCCAGCAGGGGGAGTTTTTCTCCTTCTGACACGCACAGTTCAAGGGGTCCGAGGGCGGCTCGCCATCTTGTTTCACGCTTAGGAAATCCAACTCCGGTTCTAGCTCAGCATTTCCCGGTCCAAACCTTAATGGCCTACCATAACGATAGAATAAGGTGCATAAACATTTAAAAATAACACACAGATAGCCCTTAGGTAACAGTAAAAGTCTGTTTTTTTTTAGCTCATTTAGTCCTCAACAAGGTGGTGCCAACATGGCGCCCTGAACACACATCAACGGCCTATGAACTACCGCCTGTGTGTCGAGTAAGCACAAATTCAATGCTGAAATCAACCATTATAACATTAAACAACAGAATTCTGCTACCTTGGCTTTCCATTTACATGAAATTAGCAATATAATACAACAAAACATTTCTTTTATCAAATAAAATACAGTTACTGAACTCACCAAGTCCCGTTCAGTTATGTTCACAACATCACCAAGGCACAGCCGGTCAGGAAACAGAAATACCTTCTCAAAAGTCTCAAAATGGCTTTATGTGGACTTCTAGGTTGGTATTTAATATATTTTTTTTTTTTCATTTACGCAGCAGCTCCGCAAGGACTGTCTGCATCTCTTCCTCCGCAGCGCTAAAGTGAAAGAACTACCCGGTTGGCTGTAGCGGATCATGAGTCACGCTGCAACGTGCCCTTCAAATTAAGAGTCTGAACAGATATTTTTGCTTTTTTTTTCTGAATTAACATTAAAACCCATGAATTTGCAAGTTATTAACCTTTTAACATGTTTTTAAACACAAATAAAATAAATATAAACTACTGATGTTTTTAATGAGTCGTTTTAACCATTAAGATCCATTTATTGACTATTTGTAACCTGTAATATATTTCTTTTGACTGTTTCTATTAACAGGCTTTTATTTATTGGGAGCTATGTTAACCAGGGTTACACCAGCTCATTCCAGAGAGAAGGAGCCAAGACCGAGAAAGCCCGATCACCTCTAGACCTGTACCTAGTCTGTGGGACAGTCAGTATGTCCATCATCATGCTTATGTAAACAGATGATGTAGACAGAGTAAAGTAATAGTCTCACAACATTTAAGTCATGCTGTGATGTAGAGTACACCTCAGTGTTAAGACTTACAAAACAAAGACCCGCATATAGGCCTCCCTCACACACATACAAGGACTTGACAGATATGAGTAAAAAAGTGACATGGAGAACAATGACACTAATTGTAAATAATAAATTATCCATTCCAAAATACAAGTACTTTGCATATGAAAGAAACATTTGCGCTGCTTTCCTTAATGTGCATCATCATCATTCTTATGTAAACAAAGGACAACCAAGTCCTCGGCTCATAAATTTGAAGTTGTGCTGTCTTGTCCAGTACAACTCCATGTTTACACTTCCAACCAAACACCTACATGTTGTTTACATGCTGCTGTTTGCACCGTCACAACACCAAGGTGTCTTTTTGCTTGGCATCTGGAAGGCAGTCATTCCAAGGCAGAGCGTATGAAACCATGTTGAACAACTTCCACGTTGAATCTAACAAGGACAAAGAAATGCATCCACATAACAGAGCACTTCATTACACGGAAGTGACAGCTTGTTGTGACAGCTCTCACTGATGGTGGAGGTTTTTTAATTGTTTTTTAATTGTTTTCCACGCCTTTTTATTTCCCTTTTAATCTCTTTTTTAATGATGACTGGTTTTAACTGATTTTAGCCCAAGAAAGCTTTTAAGGACCTTCTTTTATCTGGCACATTTTAACTGGAGTTCGGACTGCTTTTTACCTCACAATGGCTCCACTCACCTGCAGTCCTGGGTGTGACGGATGCCACAAACTTTCTCAGAAGGTTTTGGAGCTTGAGCAGAGGATCTCCACGCTACATCAGATCCAGGACCACGAACGGGATGTGGATATCATCTTTGGCCATACACTCGCCGCCGCCGATAGCGCTCAATTGGCGGATACCATCCCGTACCAGCTCGGCGGGGCTGTGGAGGGTGGACCTACCGCTGGTTGTCCAAGCGGCCTCGGGGCACCGGAGGCCCGCGAAATAACTGCGGAGGAGGCAGAAAGGGCGCGCTGGCTCCAGCAGGGAGCCAAGCCGAAATTCCCACTTTGCTCCACTCCAACGCTCCAGGGTGCCTGGTCGACGGTTGGCCGCGGTGGGGGGGCCCGGAGCTCCAGACATCGATCTGCTCCATTTGGCCTCCCACTCACCAACCGTTTCGCGCCACTGGAGAAGGACTTCCCTCCGCTGACGGCCTCTGGGCCCTGTAGCTCCACGGTACCATCCTCCGATTGCATCGAGCCGCCGCGGGAGCAGCTGTCGGACGCCGACGGCCATCCACGTCCCGCCCAGCCCTGGGCTGGAGCCCCAGCACGGCGAGGAGTTGCCACCCTCACCCCAAACCCACGGAGGGAGCCCTCGGCCCAGGAGAACCGCTGCAGTCCCGGGGAACCGCTGAACAACATCCAGCAGGTCCCGGACGGATCCTCTGCTCCAGCCGACCCGCCACCGAGGACCCTCATCATCGGAGATTCTATTATCAAACACGTCAGGATGAGTGGAGCCGTCACTCACAGTTTTCCCGGAGCGAAAGTCATGGACATTGCCAAACGGATCCCAGAGCTCATCCACAATCACCCAACAGTGAGTAAAATAATAATCCACGCTGGCACCAACGACACCCGCATGCAGCAGTCTGAACTCCTCAAGCGTGATTTTATTCATCTTTTTAACTTGTTAAAAAGCACACATCTGTGTGTTTTTATCTCTGGCCCCATCCCCACGGTTGACAGAGGAATTGGACGCTTTAGCCGAATTTTATCTTTGAACACCTGGCTTTCTTCTGTCACTGTGCAGCACAACATTGCTTTTATTGACAATTTTAACATTTTTTGGGGCAGGAAGCATCTGTTTGGGCCTGACGGACTCCATCTAAATAGACAGGGTACCCACACAATTAAAATGAGCCTGGCCTGCCCACGACCACCTTTACCCACCACACCACCCCCAGCTGCCCCCACGCCCCAACCTCCTCCCCCCACATCATGATGTCCCACTGGTCCAGGATCCTATGAACCCAGTTATGATTTTAACAGTAACCCACATATCGGACTTGGACCCTTGCACACCTCTCACATTCCTGTAATCAGCAGAGAGCGATCACATGAACATAAAACTAACCGGGCTAATCTTAATAATCTTAAACAGTTGTCAATAATCTCACCCCCAGTCAATCACACAGTCACTCCACCTTTAGTTACTATCAATATGGCTCTTTTAAATGTTCGCTCTCTGCTGAACAAAACTTTTATTATAAATGACCTCATTTTAGATAATCATCTTAAATGTGTATTTTTGACAGAAACATGGCTGAGTTCAGATGCTCCTGCTGTTCTCACAGAGGCCTCTCCACCAAACTTTAATTTTACTTATTCAATAAGAAACGGAAAAAAGGGAGGCGGAACTGCTTTTATAAGCTCATCTACACTTTCCGCAAAACATGTTTTATTTGATAACTACACCACATTCGAATATTGTGCAGCCATTTTCAGCGATCTTCAGATTTTGTGTGTTACTCTTTATAGGCCTCCGAGGCACAGTGCACTTTTTATACAGGAATTTTCCGAGTTTTTATCAATTCTGCACAACTCTTTTGATAGTATTATTTTAGCTGGTGATTTTAATTTACACATAGATGACCCTGCAGACCCTTTTACCACTGAATTTTTAAACATTTTGAGTTATATGGATTTTACACAACATGTTGCACAACCAACCCACGACAGAGGACACACCCTGGACTTGGTCATCACATATGGTCTGTCCACCGGTGTGTCCTCTGTCGTGGATTTAGCGATCTCAGATCATTTCTGTGTGTTTTTTAGCATTACCAGCATAATTCAGCAGGAGACCTCTGTGAGAACTGTAATGAAACGCCATCTAACCCCTGAAGTGGCTGCTGGTTTTCTGGAAACTTTTAAAAAGATCCCTCCTATTAATTTAAATGCCCCCTGTGATTTTATCTTCAATGATTTTAACAGCAGACTTAAATCTACTCTGGATCTGCTCGCTCCACCTAAAATTAAAAAGCTACAGCCAAAACCGGCTTCCCCTTGGAGCAATGAAAACTTGAAAATGTTGAAAAGATCTTGCAGGGCGGCGGAGAGAAAATGGAGGAAATATGAGAACACAATTAATAAACAAATATACAAGGAATTATTAAAATCATACAACAAAGCTGTTAGAAATTCCAGAAATAATTACTTTTCTAAAATCATCTCGGAACACAAAAATAATCCCAAAATTCTGTTTTCTACAGTCACAAATATTTTGGGTCGTGAATTTAGTTCTCTCCAGAAAACCCCCTCGGACTCTCTCTGTGAGGAGTTTGCAGCCCACTTCAGAGGGAAGGTAGACACCATCAGACGTAACATTTTATCCTCCCAATGTCATGCTGCTCCCGATCAATCTGAGAGTGTGTGTCTACCTGAGGAAACACTGGACAGTTTTGTCTTGGTTGAAGTTGAGACTATTGATAAAGTTTTCTCCTCAGTGAGGCCTACCACATGTGTTCTGGACCCTATCCCCACAAGGTTTTTTAAACAATTTTATGACTCATTTAGAGATGAGATTTTAACTTTGATGAACTGTTCCCTTCAGACGGGGGTCTTTCCTGCTGCTTTTAAACGGGCGGTGGTCAGACCCCTGTTGAAGAAGAGCAATTTAGATTTTAATGATTTTAACAATTTTCGTCCGGTATCCAACTTACCATTTTTAAGCAAAATTTTAGAGAAGCTTGTTTTAATACAACTTAATGATTTTATCAACCACCAACATGTCCTAGAGAAATTTCAGTCTGGTTTTAGGGTGAACCACAGCACTGAGACGGCCCGTCTGAAGATTTTAAATGATTTTAGAACAAATTATGATGCTCGGAGGGCAACAGTGTTGGTTCTGCTGGATCTAAGTGCTGCCTTTGATACAGTAGACCACACTATTCTTTTAACCCGTTTAAAACAGATCGGCCTCTCTGGTGCTGTTCACAGTTGGTTTACTTCCTACCTCACAGACAGGACTTTTATGGTGAGTCTGGATACCTGTTCCTCTGGGGTCCACAGCATCACATGCGGGGTGCCTCAGGGATCAATTCTAGGCCCAGTACTTTTTAACCTCTATATGCTCCCTCTGGGCAGCGTCATCAGGAGACATGGGGTGAATTTCCACAGTTACGCTGATGATACACAGTTGTACATCTCCGTGTCTCCTGATGACTCTCAGCCAATGGAAACACTTTTTAATTGCATTTTAGATATTAAATCATGGATGACTGAAAACTTTCTCCAGCTCAACCAGGGCAAAACTGAAGTTTTAGTCATCGGTCCTGAGGCCCAGAGAGAGAAACTTTTACCTAAACTACAATCAATGTCTTTTTATCCATCACTACAAGTGAAGAATCTGGGTGTTATTTTCGACTCTGAGCTGACTTTTATCCCCCATATTAAAAACATCACAAAAATAGGTTTTTACCATCTTAAGAATATCGCC